ATATATATATATATATAACCTAGCCCTTTTATAAAAGCTTGTCATTTTCATAAAATTGTGGTGGGATTTGAGAAATTGGTAAGGTTTAATAACTAATAAAATATTGTTATTTAATATTATTAAAAATAGTATTAACACCTTATGATTTACTTTGTTTTTCTCAAATTTCGTTGTATAAAATGTGAGTGTTAAATGTGATAACTTTTGTTTTCTTGATGTATGATCCTTTTTCTTGTATTTAACCGGAGTATCAAGCTAAATACTAGATCATATGATGTTTGGAACATGTTTATGGCGTTGTGAACACGTAAACCTCGTGTCATGAATATTACCCGATACCCAACAATATTTGTGAGTTTTATCGAATTGCTACTTTACTGTAGTTTATTGTTCACAATTAAATCGTTTATTCGATAATTTATTCAAAATAGTGCATATAGTATTTATAGTATTCAACAATACATTATGAATTTTATGAAAATTACATTTCATCTTTTTGACCTAATTTACGTACAATTGACTTTTTGTGACCAAAATTAGTGGATGTCACAAGAAGTAAGGTTTTCTAGTGCAAGGATTCAGTAAGCATGACTGTTTGTATCATCCCTAAGGATGCTAAGAAGCTGTTGGAAAATATGAATGTTTGCCTTAATGGATTAAGAGCTTGGAAAAGAGACGAATTTACGAGCGTCACACAACGTGAAAGGGTCTTGCCACAGCGTGGTGGAAAAACCCATCGCGATTTTGATAAAGCTAGACCACGACAAAGCAAGGGAATCGCCATAGCATGGTAGCGAGTTTCATCCACGACTGCTTTGTCATGTGGTACCACGAGGTGGTCAATGGTTGGCCATGGCATGGTGGCCGACTGTTGACCGTTAACTTTTTGACAAGGTTGACTTTTGGTCAAGTTGTTAATTTTAGTTAGTAGACTAAGGCTTGGCCTTTTGTGATTCATTAGGCGGTGTGTGGTACTAGTTTTACGATTTTGTGAGCTGTGATCTAGTCTTCTCTGATTAGTAAGGTGAGCCTTCTCATTATACTATGTAGAATGCTAAATTATCTTTGTGACTCTTGCATGTATGTTAGACGGGCCCCTTATCTATGTTGAGCGGGTCACATTATGTATGTTGGGCGGAGCCCGTATTGGTATGTGGTATTATGGAGAATTCGTTAGGCTCCATAATTATGGATTAAATTTTATTTTTTTAGGTATTTCTGGTAGGAATGGGAAAGAGTCGGCTTCATTGCATTATATCCACCGATGATTCTGTGACATCCCCAATTTCACGACCAGAAAAGACCGACTTGTTTATGCTTATTTAAAAATAAGAGTATCCTTTTTGAAAAATAATATCGCGGAATTTGTTCACAAAAAATATGATAAAGAATTATCAAAGCATTTCCAAAGAAATGTGTTTTATTTATATTAAATCATTGGGATATCATCGTCAATACAGAAACATAAGCATCACGAAATATTACAAGCCTTAAAATAATTAAACTAGTGACTTAATACTCCTTGAATCTCTCAGCAGAATGTATCTTTCATATAGCTACCTGTGATACAATAAACTGAGTGGGTCAGGTTGGGAAACCTGGTGAGTATATAAGTATTTCAATCCCACATGTTATATATATATATATATATATAATATATATATATATATATATATATATATATATATATATATATATATATAACTCGTAATATACAATTTAACCTCATATAAACAATTTTACCCGACCCCGTCGGTCCTCACAATGATACGATCCATACTCTCAGATCTCAAACTAACAACTTTACCTAATCCATACTCCCAGATTAGGTATGTCTAATCCATGCTCTAGGATCAATGACGAATGACTATGCCCACTTTATACTCCCGAACTAAGGATTAATGACTATGTCTAATCCGTGCTCTTGGATTAATGAGAAATGACTATTCCTTCTCCACACTCTCGAATTGAGGACGAATGACTATGTCTAATCCATGCTCTCAGATCAATGACAAATTTTAAAGTTCTACCCTCCATGTATATCTCATCCGTACTCATAAGAATATGCTACCCAATATTCATCTTAATTAATTTAGGTTTATTTTGTATCCTAAATCATTATATATTATCAGATGTGCTCTTAACACCTATTTCAGGCAATATCAAATATTTCACACATAAACATATATTTAATACGTTAATTAATACTTGTATTAAATCATGTTCATGAAAGGGACTATGCACTCACTTGTTAAAATGACGACTTGAAATTTGGACAGCGCTTTGCTTCTAGCAACTGTATTTTCCTTTGACGTAACCTAACATTATTATCGCTAAGTTTTAGTCTAATATTTATTACGACTAATTATTAGTCTAGATTCATCATTAACTCAAAGTCTCATTCAAGATCTATCAAGTAAGGAATAACCAGGAAAGATCATATCGGGGGTAAGGTCCGTTTGGTATACGAAGTATATTGTTTGGAAATCCCACTTTAAACACCTCACTAAATCGTAGCCTAGACATCATCCTCGTAAGTAGATCAATCGATATAACGACTTTGAATAACTGATAAATCTTATTTATAGGTTTATAATAACGAGTTATGACTATAAATATAAGTTACACTTAAAACATAATATTGTAGCTTAACTTACCGGGCTTTTAACGAAAACTGAGAAACTACGCATGCAAAACTTTGACTCTAAAAACTTATTTCATTGGCTTTTTGACGACCCAACGTTTCTTTATCACATAGTAAAACTAGGAGAAATCGAACAAGAAAGAAAGAAGGATTCTAGAGAGAGTTTAGAGGAATGGAGTAATGAAATCTGAAGAAATCATCCTCTATTTATAGGGGTTTGATCATAGAGTAGAATCTAAGTTTCGTCCATATCTTCCACGTACAAGCTCTGTTTTCTATGTTCTTTATATCCATGCGTTGGTATTTACGAGTACTACAAATTTCGTTTAGACCCCGCCGACTAATTCCCATTCTATCTTAGATTTACAAAACTGTATCGAATTTATCGCGCTCGAAGAGTTTTGCCCATATCTTTAACATACAAGCTATATTCTCGACACTCTTTATATCCACGTGTTGGTATTTATGAGTGTTGCAACTTTTTCTTAGACTCTATCGACTAATTCTCATTCTATCTCAGATTTGCAAATTTGTATCAAATTCATCGTGCTAAAAGAGTAGGGACTAAGTTTCGTCCATATCTTTCGCATACGAACTCCGTTTTCGACTTTTTTTTATCGTTGAAATCCTATTAATGATATCTTCATTTCTCGTTTAGATTATTTTGGCTAAAAATCGACCGATCTACAATTTGATTTCCTAGTTATACTTGCTACGCTAAATCTTTAAAAAAATCATAACTTTCTCAAATGAAATAAGATTTTGACGTTCTCTATATGTACGATACATTAATTTCAAATGACAAATGACCCATTTCAGACGATACATTAATTTCAGATGTTTTGGACTATACATTTTGTGCATTTCATACTAAAGATTTTCTCACATTTACAACCAAACGGTAATTAAAAAATCACCCTTATAAATGTTTTGATTAATTTGGTGTTTAATTCATTTTTTAATTTTGCGTTTAATTCGTATTATTAAATCATTTTTAATTCATTTTGTAATTTGATGACATTCTAATAGATTCATTATTGATATCCATTTGAAGATATTTGTAAGATAGCTTGTTAAAAATAAAACATAAATTGTAATTATGTACTTTGGAGTAAATTAATATATACATTAGATATAATAAAGGTAAAAAATAATTATTCAGTAATAAAAGATATAAAAATAATAATAATAATAAGACAAAAGTTGAAGGACTAGTATTGTAGAATATAAAGAGTTAGAAATAAAATATATTCAGATTGTTATTGATCCAGAATGAAGAAAATGGTTGGAGATTCTCTCAAACCAAATTATTTCTACAAACATTTTATGAAACTAACCTATTTCTACAATACCTTTCAAAACAAGCCTATAATGTTTTTTATTTTGGGGTTTTCGTAAATATTCTTGGTCACTTGAATTTGTGTTTCTTTGTTAGGTTTACTGGAATGTCTGAATGGTCTTTGAGGATATATATACCTGCCATTGCTTTGTGTTCTTTACATAGATTGCTTAAGATTGGTGGATGTCTTGAACTTTAAGGACTTCTTGATATTCTTGTCAGCTTTTAATTCTAAAGCAAACATGTCTCACATAATTGAACGTAAGTTTCACGGGAAAATAACTTAAAAACCCAACGAAGTTTCAAAACCGTTTAAAAAACTCCAATCATGTTTTGTCTGTTAAAAAAAACCTAACAAACTTAACATTTTATCTAAAAAACCCAACTAAGTTACACTTTCTCGAAAGTCAAATAAGAGAAACAGATGATGTGGCTTATTACCGTATCGGAAAAATGACTTGTTAGACCAACGAAGTGTCTAAAACGTTTAAAAAACTCCAATCATGTTTTGATTGTTCAAAAAAAACCCAACGAACTTAAACAAAACAAAATTGGAATTTTCTGAACGGTTTGAAACTTTGTTGGACTTTTTAGACAAAAGGTTAAGTTCGTTGGGTTTTTTTGAACAGACAAAACATGATTGGAGTTTTTTGAATGGTTTGAAAACTTCGTTGGGTTTTTAAGTCATTTTCCCTAAGTTTCACACCTTATTCTGATCAAAGCAAGCGATGAACTTGCACCAAACTGACCACTTCAACATCACTTTTCATCAAGAAAACCCTCCTCCGCAACTAGGAATATGTACACTTGATCACGAACATTTGGCTTTATTTGTAAATTGGCAATCAGCTAAAGTCTAAACCAAATGTCTTATGTCACTTTACGCTTCCCTATGCTATCTGTATCAGATGTGTTTTTCTATGTTTCGTCTTTTTGCTCAAATTTTGAACTTCGGTCCCGCTAATTATACATGTATGCATCCAAAACTTTGCCTCAAATTCTGCTCTACTTTTTGTCCAAGCTTTCTAACATCAAGATGGCGCCGATTTCTTCTGCCATGTGAAACAAATCGACTTTATCTGCCACCTTTCTTGTCACTGTTCGTTCTACATCTTCTTAAGCAAATTCATGAATCAAATTAACTAAAGCCACGATCTGTAGAAGTGAAGTGAAAATGAACTCGGAAAGCAAAAGAAAGCTTCATCAGTATGTTGAGGTGGAGGAAGTAGGGCAACTTAAGAAACGAGTAGCATATCTGGAAGAAGAGACACACGTGATGATGCGAGAAATGTCCCAAAACACAGCAGAAAGGAAGTCATTGTTGAAGGACATATATCGACAACTGAAACTCATACAGTTCTCTTGTCACCCAAAAACCCAAAACATTATGGAGTACAAGTTTTGTAAGGTAAGATATATAGTTATATATATCGATCTTTTTTGCTCCATGGATACCACAGCGTAGTCATGGTTTCTGTGTTTGAACTTTTGGCAATGGCAGCAACAGGAAGGAGGGAGGGGAGATGGATTGTCTCAAGTTTTATATGAAGATTTGAATCCAACGGTGGTGATTAGAGGTGGCTTAACAGCACATTCAATGGCGACTTCAAGTGAACATGCAAAAAGTACAATGTCAAACATCTTATGCATAGAGTGTAATGATTGAAAGAGCAATAGATGACAACATTTTATCACTTGTGTAATGTTTGATCATAGGGTAGAATCTAGGAAAGGAAGGAAAGGATTGGTTTGTTTCAATATAATGAAAAAAATATGTTTGTTTGTCTTATACAATGTTTTAAAAACCGGTTTTTTAGTTGAACCAGTATGGTGATCGGTTCCGGTTTAACCGGTTCGACCGCCGGATCAACTGGTTTTTATAATTTTCATTTTTTTTTTTCTTATTTTTCTACACATACATACATACATATGTCATGAATTTGACGTCTACAAGTTCAAACATTAAAAATACACATAAAAATAAGTTGTAGATCAATATAAATACATTAAAACAACACATAACTATAAGTTTTATATCAATTCATATACATCCAAAAGAAAATAAAGTATAATACCGAAACAAAATATAATTTTAAATGAATATAAATGCATCAAAAAAATCATAATATTTACCATATGTTTTTATTTAGAGAAATCTAAATAAATATAAAAAAATCCACCTTTATTATTGAAAATATTTTTTCCATATATTTTTATTTAGTTTAACCGGTTCAATCAGTTTATTTTGACCGGTTCAACCGGTTTTTTCTAAAAACTGGCCGGTTCAATCCGGTTCAGAAATTGGTGTAAAATTGGAGATAGTTGAACTGCTCTCTTCTCCGGTTCCCGGTCCAACCGGTTCGACCAGCCGGTTCAAACCGGTTTTTAAAACACTGGTCTTATGTTATTTCTTCCATTTTGTCAAGGGATGTGTTTCTAGCTATACTATTCTTTTTCAACATCTTTCAATATTTTAATTATTAGAAATTAAATATATCCTCCTACTTTTGTTCCTACAAATCCTTATACCCAATTAAATGATGACACGTGTTGTATTAATATACTAAAATATCATTAAATGAACATTAAATGTTACACATGTCAGTATTTAATTGGGTAGGATCATTTGTAGGAACAAAAAATAGGAGAATATTTAATTTCTCAATTTAGAAAAATTACCATTTTAACTTCTAAAAATAACAAAATATATGGCAATATACATAAAAGTCACCATATTTTGTGCATTTTTGCGATTTGGCTAAACATGTTTTATTTCAGTCGATAAAAACCGCTCATTTTTAAAGAAGTTTCCATTGCAAGTTTGCAACCCTCCATATCCGGTTTAACAAGAGTTAAACCTGACAACTTTCTGAAATGACTTTTCATTTACCTACAAGGTATGCATATAACATACTAAATTGACAAATTAGAAACCAGGAAATGTTATTTTATAGATACATAGAATGTCATATAGGTAAATAAAAAGTCATGTTAGTTTTAACACGGGATCAAGGTGATCACAGTGAAAAAAAAAATGAACAATTTTCATTTACCGAAAAAAATATGTTGGTTAAACCACAAAAAGGTCAAAATAGAGTTAATTTTATATACATTGCCCAATTTAATGACAAATAATAAATAAGGTAAAGTTTAAACCAATGCATAGTTGATACGTATACGAATGAAACTTTACATGAAAGTTCATTTCATTCGCACAAACCAACAAAAGTAATTATGGAATATAATGAGTTATATCATTATATTTTTTTTATTCTATTAATTGTCCATTTCATTTCACTCTATTCAACCAAACAAACTCTAATTGTTGAACAGAATAGAGTCCATCTTTGTCGAGCTTATTATATAAAACAGGGTAAATGGACACATGGCATGTTGTTAGATATGTTCATTTCATCGACAACTAAACAACTCTAAAAGCAACAGAGTTCCATTACATCTAATTAACGAGAAGAAGGAGAGAAACAGAGAAACTCACATAGGTAGACCATAACAACATCCAATTTAGTTATATCACCAATTTACATATAAACCCCCTAATGCTTCATAAATTATACAAATGCCCAATAAATTATTTATGCACATAGCTTTCCTTATTCACAACTGTCACTATTTTTGTGGCACTGAAAACAGTTGTTGAGGTGCGTGTTCTTGCATAAATAGGATGTCAAAATGGTCATTTTGCTGTTTTCATACTCAGCCTAGTCAACCGGGACCTCAACCTCCATCTTCAATCCAGGATGGTCAAGAATCTGAAACAACAAAAGGAAGACAACCGTATGAGTGAGAATAAAATTAAATGACCATTTTACCCTTCTGTTTATAAGTAGTGCAGAGTAAACAATGACTATGAAGTGTTTGAATGAGGATAAAATGATCATTTTACCCTTCTGTCTATAAGTAGTGCTGAATGAAAAAAGAACTGGCTGAATGAGGATAAATGACAATTATACCCTTCTGTCTAAAAGTAGTGTTGAATAAAAAACGACTATGAACGTTCTGAATAAGGAGAAATGACCGTTTCACCCTTCTGTCGAGAAATGACCATTTTACCCTTCTGTCTAGAAGTAGTGCAGACTAAGAAATGACTATGAAGTGTCTGAAGGAGACTAAAGAAAAGACTGTATCTCATAAAATAGAGAAGGGTGAGGGGTAAAAACGTAAAACAGACCTTAACAAAGTCATCCACCATAAGAGAAGAATCTTTACTGTAGCCAGCTTCCTGCATGACTTTGATCAAAACTTCCTGAAAAAATTAAGATGAAATTATGAAAACTTATTGCAGGGTGAGAATATTTCTTTTAAAAAATAGTAAAAATGGAATATAAATCATGCCTCTCTTTGCTTATCTGACATGAAAGAGCCACTCAAATCCCGCAAAACCTCCATTATGTCATTAAAAGTCACCTTACCATTATAATCTGAGTCATATACTTTGAAGATAACTGTAAGATTATGTGTTTACAAGTGTTAGATCATATCAAAAGGTTCCCCTAAAAACTTCAAGTAACAGAAAATTATACAGATTTTAGTTTCTTTAATCATTGAAAAGATGATACTACTTAAATCTTTAGATCAGATGGGAAATTAAGTTTAAAAACCAAGAACTTAACCAGATTGTTTCTTAGTTTCAATCAATCTAAGAATTACAAGACCCTTAAATAAATGATTGTGATTAAGCTTACGTTCAATCTTCTGAAGCATGCTTGCTTTAGGATTAAAAGCTGACAAGAATATCACAAAGTCCTTAAAGTTCAAACCATCCACCATCTTAAGCAATCTCTGTAAAGAACGAAAAAGCAAAAGGCAGGCATATCGTCAAACACCTTGTAGGCATCCCAATAGATCATAATATTGAAACAGAGTTATAAAGCGAAAGAATTATAAAAAAATAAATCTAAAAATTAAAAAAGAAAAGAATTTTACCTGAGACAGAGGATTCACTGCAAACTCTGGTACTGATAAAAACTCATCGGCAGAAATAAAACCCTTGGCAGTGCGATCAAGTTGGCAAAATCTCTGATACAAAGAAACTATCTCTTGCTGGGAAACTGAATTCAAACAAGTATACAGTGAGTTGAGATAAAATCATCAAGTGTGTGTGTGTGGCTGCATTCAAGATTTACTTACATAGATGATTACAGTGTTCTTGAACGTCTTCAATATCATATTGAGTTAGAGTAGACGATGCACTACCCATTTGTCTTCAATCTCCAAAGTAAAGTATCAATCTTTTCTGGTGAAAATAACAAAAACCCACTAATCGGTTGGTTAAATTGATAAAGTTGATTGATTTATAAGACAGATCGAAGAGAAAAAGTAGGAAAGAGACCTGGAATTCCGAGGAAATTGAGATGATGCCTTTAACAGTGATGAAGATGGGAATACGATAGAATTATGGAAGAAAGATGGGGGTATTAAACGATGGGATTGATTGTCGTTGTCTTAATCGAAGTTTGTTTGGTTTTTGAGATGACGGGAAAACTGAGGTAATATCCCGTCCCTAGTTCCCTATAATTCTTAGCTTCTCTTATCTTTTGCTATTTTGGCTGTTTTGCATTTAATATGGGGAAAAGTATAAAAATATCATGCATCTTATCATTTCATTGATTAGTTTTTTACGTTACTTTTTTTTTTTTTTTTTAATATTTTCTTCTATGGCGAGTAAAATTAGGGTTAATCGTAAAAAGTACAGATTGTATCTGTAAAAATTATAGATTCTGTTTTTTTCTTTTTAATATTACTATCTAATCCGAAGAAAGAAAAAATTTAAGATCTTTATTTTTATTTGACAATCTAATACAAAAAAGTTTTATTTCGGACCCAAGATATGGTATATGGCCGTTAGGTGGTTCCCTTTATTCGTACAAGTTATGAAATAAAGTAACCACAATATCCTAAAACGATATTTTGACTTCTTTTTAGGATTTATTTGGGACGAGCTATGGAATTTCACTCGCGTGAGATTACGTGTACAAAGCTGGTCACAAGTTTTTAGTGCTCACATTTTGAAGTTAAAAATTCAAAAAATAGGTCCTTTTATATGTGTTTTGTAGTAGTTAGGCTATACTTGTATTTATTTTTATGATTTTTGTAAGTAACCAATAACCGAAATGAAAATCTAATTCTAAAATATGATGAACAATTTTTAATTTTATTGATTTCCAAATGTGTTTTGTAATAGTTAGGCTATACTAGTCATATTTACTTTTGTAGTCGGGTATTGTTTTATAGTAGTGTTTTTCATACTCTGAAATATGTCAAAATAATTCTCAATTCAAAGAACTATTCCAAATCAAGAAGTTGTACTTGTTCTCTAACTTCCTCTGGATGAAGGCTATGATGGTGTAACAGATAATTTGGAATGGAAATTGTTAGCAAAGTAACTTACATATAAAAATATAATAGTCATCTTAAATTTGTCGATTATTTCGTTACGAACTAATTAATATTTTTATATATAGAGAAAAGCAACACACGGAAATACCCCTTATGTCGAATTCAATTATGTTCATCAAGTTTTTTGTTCATCTTCATTAATTTTTCATGATCTATTCTGCATTTGCAAATTCCTTGTACTTTGATCTAGAAATCTTCATTCAAAAACTTGCTTTGATTTGAATTTCTTATATCACTCATTGATTTGATTCTCTACTTATTTTTCTCTAAAATCATGGCAAAAGATGATCTTTATACCGTCACATTCAATTTGGCGAGTAGCACTGGTTC